ATATATATATATATATATATATATATATATATATATATATATATATACACATACAGTAACAAAGAATGCAACAATCTATAACTTTAAACATATGTACATTCCAACAGTAAAAGACAGAATCCCAAAGAAAATTCGAGAAAATCACATCATATGAATTTATAAAAATTGATAACCATCTGATGAAGAAAAACAAGCATTCTTTGTAAGTGGTCAAACCCGCAAACTCAGCAAGGGGTCAAATACTTATTCCCCCACTATATATATATATATGTATGTATACTGTATATTGTAGAAAATGAAAATCTTTTGATGATTATTTTTCCTGGCGTTGTGTAACTAAACAAAGTGTTTAATATTTTCAGGAATTAAAGCTTTTGCTTCATCGCTCCACACTGTTGAAGACACAGGGCCAAATGCAGGACTACCTGGATGCTATGATTACCATGATTTCGATGCTGTTGAAGGTAGTAACACATCCTCATGATGTAATGCTTCTTGCTGTAGGAACTAAAATAGTTTGTGACAGATTAAAGGAAGAAAACTCATTATGTAAAGTAAGATAAAATGGCAGTGGTTTATTTTTCGTTTCCTAATGTGTCTCTGCGTATTCATATGCTGTAGGTGGCCATGCAGCGAGCTAAAGTGTGTGTGCGTTCCGTCACGCTATCAGGGGAGACTCACCTCAAGCTAGTAAAAACTAATGATATGATATCAGAGATTGATGACCAGGAAACTGCCTATCTGGACAACACGGGTATGTGTGAAGAGATGGGTAGATTACTATATTTGTTCCATAATCTAATAATATAAGAGAGACCTGTCTCCAAATGTTCATGTTTTTTTGTTTTTCGGCAAAAGTGCATGAATTTTAAGGAATAACATGCTTGATAAAAAGATTTAGATTTAAAATTTGGGGTCAATAATATTGACACATCTTTTGTAGATCGCTATAAAAAGCATAACTCAAGTCTACAAGAAACATAAGAATCGCGTAATGCTCTCAAACAAATGGTGCAAAACACCAGCGGTATCTCTGATTTTTAATTCCTCTGACTCTGAAGTCACTTTAGCTTCATCATACGATTAAAATCTAGTCCCACTTTATAATGAGAGATTTAGTCATATCCTAAATATGTAGTACTTTATTTTCTTTAAAAAGGCGAGTTAGAATCAGAGCGTGGGAAAAAAAATGGCGAAACCAGATGTGTAACGATACCTTTATTGATATGGTCCAATGTCTGTGCGCAGGAAAAACCAATGTTTTATCCAAAGAGGACTGGTGGCAGCTCCTGGTGAGCTGCGTGCTGACCTTGTGCGAGGTGGAGCGCTACGAAGAGGCTGAGCTACTCGTGGAGTCGGCCATGGAGTTCTATTCCTTCTACGACAACAAGCCCCGGAGGAAGGAGCTGGAGTTCTACGGGCTCTCTGCCACCATCCTCGACCACAACTACTACAAAGCATACAATTACATCAGGTAAACTTTAGCGACGTGTCGAAGGATATGCCAGTTTTAAAACGTATTTTTCAGATTTTCGTCCTTAAGAAATCTTTTTTCTCTTTTACAGATTGATGCTTATAGAAAATGTGCATCTCCCGCAGCTGTGGAACATTTTCAATCAGGTGTCCGTCTTAATCTAGCTCCTATGCTCGGCGCACATGCTTTGTCTTGCTAACTTCTTGCTCATTTCCTTCGCTCTCGGCAGCTGACGATAACATCCCAACATCAGCGTCACCATCGCTTCTGTCTCCGTCTGCTCTTGAAGCATCCTCACAACCACGCCTTGTGTGTTCTCTGCGGCCACAACGCCATGGTCTCTGGGAGCTTCAAACATGCTCTTGGTGATTAACGCACTCGTAACGCACAGGTTTTCAGCAACGTCTGAAACTCGGTTTTCTTGTAAACGGCGAATAAGACCGATAATCAATTTCTCTCCAAACCAGGTGCAGACACACTTGTGTGACGCTAAGACGTGTGTTTAAAACCACAATGTTATTTAAAACAGTCTGATATTGAGGTCTAAAGTAGTTTTCATTCAAAAATATCATTTTGAACACCATAACTCTCATTAAAATAAACAGAGGCCCTAGTGACATTGAAGAAGAAAAGGAAAAAAAACATTCTCGTGCACACAAATGTTCAAATTTTTCCCCCAATTTATTTGTTCCTATTTTTTTTAACTGACTCCCCAGCAATTGCTAACTATCATATATCATATTTCACTATGATTAGGCTACACACTGATATAAATGGAGATCATAAAGGTTGTTTTTTAGGTGGAATCATTATCTGTATTATGCATTATGCATTTCAGTGGCCTAACAAATTTTTTGTTTTTTTAAATCTTTATTAGTTAGATTTTTTTATGTCCCTTCAGGGGCTCCGTAAGATACAACACTCTTTTTTTATCGTGATGAAGAGAGGTTTGAGCCTAAAAGCCAAGCTCTTGATTTATTGGCCGATGTACGTTCCAACCCTCAACTATGGTCACAAACTTTGGGTATTGAGCAAAAGAACGTAATTGCGGATACAAGCAGCCAAAATGGGTTTTCTTCCTCATTTTGGCTGAGCTCTCCCTTAGAGATTGGATGAGAAGCTCTGTCATCTGGGAGGGGCTCAGAGTAAAGAATATTTCAAATGTGGACAAGTTTGTCGAAGTGTTTGAATCATTTAAATAAAAATTGTGATTTTGCATGGGAATTAGTAGGCTAATGACTTCTCTAAACATTGGAGAAAACAAAAGCTTTGGCAGCAGCTTCATTGTGTGCTTTTGTTTTCGAGATTGTAACTTGCTGTGACAGCAGACTTCACACTTCTGTAGCCTCTATTGTGTCTTTTTTTAACATTTCTTTTAAGAATTGTTTGGCTATAATTGTGTAAAAGTTCTCAAAAATGTATGTATCCCCTCCCCTTTTTATTCATGTTTTGGTTGAAAAAGACCCGTAAATGTTTTTGAATTATGTTTTTTTGTGTTGCATTCAAGGTCCACTCTGCTTTTTTTGTTTTCAGGCCAGTATGTTCAGGCCTTACAGGCTCACCCTGAAAACCCACTTCACAGCCTTTGTGTGGGTCTTACTTTTTTCCACATGGCATCTCAGAAGTACGTGGCTAAACGACATGCACTGGTGTTACAGGTAGATATTCTGTTTTATTTAGCTTGTTGGTGCAGTTTTCTATTCTATTCTATCCATAATTAAAAGGTGTTTTTTTTTTTATCCTCAGGGATTCTCCTTCTTGTGGCGTTACGTCGAGCTGCGTGGAGTGTGTCAAGAAAGTATGTACAATTTGGGCCGAGCACTGCACCAGATGGGCCTTACACATCTTGCTATACATTACTACCAAAATGCACTGACACTCCCTGCACAGACACTGGATGTAAGTGCAACTCCATTTATTCAGTTTCCACAATTCCAAATTAACACTTTGACATAGTTCCTCTAGAAGCGATATAATTGCCCTTTTGTTGACCTGTTTAGATATCTGCCTTCTGATCTTTCAAGATTTTTTATTAGAAAAATTTGAATAAATTCCATTGAATTTTCAATTTCCACTCTTCCAACAGGGCATAATGGACGACCAGGTTGATCTGAGGAGGGAGATTGCTTTTAATTTGTCCCTTATCTACCAGAGCAGCAAAAACATGGAGATGGCCCAACAGCTCATTAGAACACATTGCACAGTTTAACTGAGTTCTAGGCCGAATGGGTACCCAATACCCATCAGGCTTTTTAGCAATATTTTTGTCCTATGAAAATGTGTATATAATAAAGTAATGAATGCTGTGACATTTCATAACATTTTTGTAATGTATTCTTTATTGTAAAAATTGAAATCTATAAATGAAAAAAGGAATTACGCATGTCGAATGTCCCAATACTATTAACACAACAAAGTAAATCTACATCATAAATTAATATACATATTTACATCCTTGCAGAGGAAGGAGAAGTAGTTAATAGTTCAATGAAAATGACCAGTTCCGTCCAAACATCTTTGTTTGTCATTCTCAAAAAAGAGGAAAAATATTTGTTGTGGTCTTCAAAGCATCCCAGCAGAGTTCTTCACTGGGTGAGAGATGGAGTTATGCATTTTGAAGGAAACGGGGCTTTCACAAAACACGAGTATGAGACGTGAATAAGTAAAAGGTGATGATCAAATCTAGCAGGCACACTAGTGCTTAAAAATGTGAAACAAGAACTGTTTCACATTGAACCATCATTTTCTCATGAATTATTTGCAATTAATAAAAATCGTATTATTGTGCACCTATTTTAATAAATAACATGGAAGTGTATAACAAATTTTAGGGCAGTTTTAGGAAAAATGCCAAGTAACATTTTGTGCAAATTTTCCAACAAATTAGATACTTTTTACTCTGTCCTATGTATTTCTAAGAAATCTGGCAAAAACATTATCAGATCAAATACAAACCAGATGTTATTTACTACTGGTCAGGGCAATGACATGTTATGTAACATGGACATGTTCCAGAGACGTGATGCCAAGAGCCAATAGTCATTATCTTACAATTCTTTGTTATCCAGGTATGAAAGTGTTTGGGCATATTTATTTCCACTGAGCAAAACTTAAAAAATGAGCAAGTCATACAAAAAACTAAAGGCAAGCCAGGAGAAACTCAAAAGAAACTTAAAAACACTGAAATTGGAATCTCAAGAAAGGAACAAGATCAACACAGATAATGAAATAACTGTAACGGTGAACTAAAAAAGGAAAGAGACACCAAGTATGAAACTCTAACTCATGACAGTACCTTAGATTGTTAGGTGGGATGTCTGAAGATCTAGTGTCTCTGTTATGAGATGCTGTTGTCTGCTGTGGAAAGTAACTGGGAAAACATTTTCAATTTCCCTCTACATTGTGTGGGTTAAAAAGCGCCACAGAGCTGTAGTTGCCAATGTATGCTGGATCCATAGTAATTTAGGGGCTACTGTAAGGAATAAATGGTAATCAGTATAGGGGCATTTACCTAAATATTTAAGGGCTACCGTGCAGGAGACCTGGGTTCTATCTTCTCTTTTTACCATTGTAGTAGCTTAGCAGCAGATTAATTCAATTCAATTTTCAATTCAATTTTATTTATATAGCGCCACATCACAACAACAGTTGTCTCACAGCGCTTTCCAAACAGAGCAGGTCAGACCCTACTCTGAAGTTAATTACAGAAACCCAACGATTCCCATCATGAGCAAGCACTAGGCGACACAGGCAAGGAAAAACTTCCTTTTAACAGGCAGAAACCTCGAGCAGAACCATGGCTCAGGGTGGGCGGCCATCTGCCTCGGCCGGTTGGGGGTGAGGGGAAAGAGAATACTTAATGCATTTGGAATGGAATAAAATTAAAATATAGATAGACATAGACATAGACTTCCTTTATTGTCATTGTCAAATACACAAGGTGAATTAGACAACGAAATGTCAATTTCTTGGCTACCAGAGTCAAATTTTTAGCAACGAAATATCAATAAATATGTGTGTGTGTATGGGGGGGGGGTTATGTGGCGTTAAGTAGTCTGATGGCAAGGGGGAAGAAACTATTTAGTAGTCTGGTCGTTCTGCAGAAGATGCTGCGGAACCTTCTGCCGGACGCCAGGGGGGAAAACAGTCCATGGTTGGGGTGGGTGGGGTCGGAGAGTATCTGGCGAGCCCGGGAAAGGCAGCGCCTGTCCGCGATGTTCTGGATGCAGGGGAACGTCGCCCCCGTGATCTTCTCCCCTGTCCTCACCACCCTCTGAAGAGACGTCCAGTCAGAGGCCTTGCAGCTCCCAGACCAGATGGAGATGTAGCTGGTCAGCAGGCTCTCGATGGTCCCTCTGTAGAAGGTCTGAAGGATGGGGGGCGGGAGGGATGCTCTCTTCATCCGACGCAGGAAGTGCATGCGCTGTTGGCCCTTCTTCACCAGTGAGGAGATGTGGACTGACCAGCTGAGGTTGTCAGTGATGTGCACTCCCAGAAACTTGGTGCTGCTTACGACCTCCACAGCTGAGTTGTTGATGAGGAGGGGTGTGTGGGTGGGTCTGGATTTCCTGAAGTCGACGATAATCTCCTTGGTCTTTTTGACGTTCAGGATCAGGTTGTTCACTCTGCACCAGTCCACCAGATGCCGCACCTCCTCCCTGTAGGCCGCCTCATTGTTGTCCCGGATGAGGCCCACTACTGTGGTGTCGTCCGCGTACTTCAGGATGTGGTTGGAGCTGAGGCGTGGACGGCAGTCGTGGGTCATCAGGGTGAACAGCAGGGGGCTTAGGACACAGCCCTGGGGAGTGCCAGTGTTCAGGGTGATGACGTTGGAGGTGTTGTTCCCCACTCTGACAGCCTGGGTTCTGTCAGTGAGGAAGTCCAGCAGCCAGTAGCATAGGGGGGTGTTTATTCCTAAGGGCCCCAGTTTGCCTACCAGGTCCTGGGGGATGATCGTGTTGAATGCTGAGCTGAAATCCAGGAACAACATCCGTACGTGGGTGTTCTTCTCCTCCAGGTGCTCCAGGCTCAGGTGGAGAGCAGTGGAGACTGCATCCTCCGCACTGCGCTTGGGCTGGTACGCAAACTGGAACGGGTCGTGTGATGGGGGGAGCGTTGAGATAATGTGGTCCTCAACAAGTCTTTCGAAGCACTTCATGATGGAAGATGTGAGTGCGACGGGGCGGAAATCGTTAAGGCACGTGATGGTGGTTGTCTTTGGGACCGGAACGACAGTGGCAGACTTGAAGCACCGTGGGACGACGGCTTGGTTCAGGGACGTGTTGAAGATGTCCGTGAGCACGTGGGTCAGCTGGTCCGAGCATTCTTTAATCAGCCGACCTGGAATGTTGTCGGGACCTGCAGCTTTCCGCGCGTTGACCTTCCTCAGAACTTTCCGCACTGCTGATGTTTCTAGTCTGAGCGCTTGTTCGTCGGGGTGTCGTGTCGCTTTCCTCGCAGGGTTGGAGTTCAGCTCCTCAAATCTTCCAAAGAAGTTGTTGAGCTCGTTGAGGAAGCCGGTGTCGTTCTGGCAGGATGAGGGAGGGGGTTTGTAGTCCGTGACAGACTGGATGCCCTGCCACAGTTTCCTCGTGTCGTTGGAGTCTTGGAAGAGACCTTGGATTTTCCGGCTATGGGCTCGCTTGGCATCTCTGATGGCGTGCTTCAGGTTAGCCCTTGTAGACCTGAGAGCCACAGCATCACCAGATTTGAACGCAGCATTTCGTTCTCTAAGCTTCGCTCGAACCTCCTTGGTCATCCAAGGTTTCTGGTTTGCCCGAGTGACAATTGTTTTTGTTGCTGTCTCGTTTTCCATGCACCAACTGATGTAGTCGGACACCGACGCAGCGTACTCCTCCACGTTGGTGCGTTGGTTGTCTGTTGCAGCCTCCTTGAAGATGCTCCATTCAGTGCACTCAAAACAGTCCTGTAGTGCAGATATCGCTCCCTCAGGCCATACCCGGACGTTCTTCACTGCAGGTTTTTCTCTGATGAGCCGGGGCTGGTATGCAGGAATTAGCATGACAGAGAGATGGTCTGAGGAGCCCAGGTGTGGGCGGGGGGCTGCTCTGTATGCCTTCTTTATGTTGGTGTAAACAAGGTCCAGCATGTTCTCCCCTCTTGTAGCAAAGTCCACGTGTTGGTAAAAGTTTGGAAGTACAGTCTTCATGTTGGCCTGGTTGAAGTCGCCAGCAACAATAAAAACACCATCCGGCTGTGTGGCTTGCATGTCTGTGATGTTATGGTAGAGAACACTGAGGGCTTGCTTCGTGTTGGCGCTGGGTGGGATGTAAACAGCAACAATGGTGACGCTGGTGAATTCACGTGGCAGGTAAAAGGGTCGGCATCTCACAGTCAGGAGTTCAATGTCTGCAGAGCAGTGACTGGAGACCCAGGAAGCGTTGTTACACCAGCTGTTCTTTGTGTAGATGCAAACGCCCCCCCCTCTGCTTTTACCTGTGAGAGCACTGCTTCTGTCAGCTCTGAATGTTGTTAACCCATCCAGGCTGATTGCGCAATCTGGGACCGATGCACTGAGCCATGTTTCAGTGAGGACAATGGCACAGCAGTTTCTTGTTTCTGAGTATTTTTTTTTAATGCTATTTCTTTTCTTTATGGATCTAATATAATTTTTGACCACCAATGGATTTTTTGGGCGCTTTTTGGGCAGGTATGAAAGATTTGGAACGGTTTAAATATCTCACTATGTTGTGTATGGGATTAAACATGGTTTGAAATCTAGTATGTCTGCTCTCTCATATTAAACCATTCTCTGATGATATTTGATTTCTCCGGGTTCTCGAGCTTCCTCCCACCATCCAAAAACCTGCATGATAGGTTGATTGGACATTCCAAATTTTCCGTAGGAGTGAGTTTGAGTGTGTGCGGATGTTTGTCCTTGTGTGACTCTGTGTGTGGCCCTGCGATGGACTGACGGACTGTCCAGGGTGTAACCCGCCTCTCGCCCATTGACCACTGGGATAGACTCCAGTTCTCCCCGCGATCCCATTAGGGGATAAGCGGTTACAATACTGGATGGATGGATGGATGCAAGGAGAAAAGCCTTCCTGTTTTCTGTTTTCTCCTTTAGTCTGGTGGTCTGACCCAAGCACTCATGCCCACAGTAGCTGTTAGTAATGCACTGTGACAGACAGGCGAAGCTCCTTGAACATCCAATTGGTACAGCACCATCAGATCTTTGAGTTCCCATTCCTTGAAGAGTTCCATCCATGCCACGAATGTCACAACGAGATCTTTTTACCAGCAAGAAATTTATCTCCTTTTCTCGTAGCAGCTCCCAATATACATACAACACGACCTACATGGTGGAAGGGTTCAGTCTCAATGACCTGTCTTGAAGAATTTGTTCGTCACAGGTCATGTGTTTCGATGCTCCAAAATCACTCAACTTGTCTCGGCCCTTCGGTAAGATTTGCATTTTGAGCAGCAAAGGCACTCTCAGAGGAATCTTCTGCATTTTAAAAGATTTTAGCTTTGTGATTTTTTTTTTCCAGCTTTGACAGTTACGCTTTGTGTGCCCTTCTTTTCCACACTTGTAAAATACCTATAAACCCCATCTATCAGCTCCCCCTGCGTTTTCTCTGTGAACTTGACATGGCCGATTCACTACCTAGCTAGCTAGCTGTATGCTAACTGACAGCATAAAGGGTCAGCTCATGACTCTGACTCTGGAATAATAAATAATAGCAGATGAAGAGCTGTTGATTACTAATGCAGATGTAGTTTTCTGTTTTTGTAAACACCTGTATGGCCTTTCACACGTTTGAAATAATATAAACAATATCTATCACACTTTTGACTGCCTTTTTTAAATATACACAGTACATTCACTTTTACTTATACTTGTACTTTTGATACTTGAGTAGCAATTTTTGAAATAGTTCTACTTGCAATACTTAAGTACAAAAAAAATTGAGTACTTCAGTACTTCCACTTAAGTATGGTGTTGAAAGAATACTTCTACTTTTACTCAAGTCAATTTTCTATGTAGTACTTGTACTTCTACTCCACCCCTCTACTCCAGTACTTTATTCATCTCTGGTCAGCACCATCGCCTCACCGCAAGAGGGTTCTGGGTTCGAGTCCCGGGGGGACCCAGGACCTTTCTGTGTGGAGTCTGCATGTTCTCGCTGTGTCTGGATAGGTTCTCTCTGGGTCCTCCAGGTGTGCCAAGAGAGAACAGAAAAGTCCTGGGTCCCCCAGTACCTTCTTGCTGTGAGGCAACGGTGCTAACCACCACACCACCGTGCTGCCTATTTGTTTACTCTGTAAATACTATTTCATATGTTCTGCAAGTTATTATTTGTCACATTTATGTTTATGTTTGTCGACATGATTTAGTTTTCACCAAATAAACCAGTAAAGAAAACTACTTTTGTCTGCTGGTGCTTGGAGAGAGAAAAGGGAAGTGATCTAGATGTGGGACTCCAGCCAAATGTGCTGTAAATGAGCTTTGAATGAGCTTTGCCCAGAAAACTGGACGGGCGTCGGTGGACTCGGGGTCGTATGGTGAATAAATAATTTCCCTCTGGGATTATTAAAGTATTTCTGATTCTGATTCTGATGGTGGCTCCAGTGAGTCAGTGCAGTCTCTCCCACACTCTGCAAAATGTAACACAGCAAATGGACATCATTTCTTCAGAGTGATACATGACAGACAGGTGGAAGTGTGCAGAATATGTTTGCAGTCGGGACATCTGGTCAGAGAGCGCCCAGACTTTAACTCTCACAAGAGTGGAGGACATTATGCAAGGGAATGCATTGAGGGAGGTGGAAGATGTGCAGTCTGCTGCCAACTGATCAATAAGTGTGTATGTAGGGAGTTTAAGGACTAATAACAAAAGTAGAGGGATTTTTTTTATGAATAGAAATAGTAACATAATATTCTTGCAAGACACAAAATGGGATGAGAGTTCAATAGAAAAAAATCTAAATACTTCGGAAAAGGAAAATTATAGTAATGGGATAAACAATACCAGTGGAGTGGGAATACTAATGAAAGATGATGATTTAATAAATATTAGATAAATATTAGAGAAATGTGTAATGATAATCTTGGTACATTAGAGATATGAATTATAGCAATAAAGATATAAAAATAATAAACTGCCATGCACCCAATGCAGAATCAGAAAGGGAAAAATATTTCAAGAAATGAACAAAATTTCTAAATTTAGTTCATTTCTAAATGACTGACCCAGATGTTTTAGCCAACTATAGACCTATATCTAACCTTACATTTATCTCCAAGGTCCTGGAGAAAGCAGTAGCCAAACAGCTGTGTGACCATCTACATAGCAATAGCTTGTTTAAAGATTTTCAGTCAGGATTTAGAGTTCATCATTGTACAGAGACAGCACTGTCAAAAATTACTAATGGCCTCCTAATGGCATCATATCAAAGGACTCTTCTCGGTGTTGGTTTTATTATATCTTGGTGCTGCTTTTGACACCATTGACCATCAGATCCTATTACAGAGACTGGACCATTGCATTGGCATTAAAGGGGCCGCTCTAAGCTGGTTTAGGTCCTATTTATCAGATCGGTTTCAGTTTGTGCATGTTAACGATGAGTCCTCCATGCATGCCAGAGTTAGCTATGGAGTACAACAAGGATCTGTCCTCGGACCAATCCTATTTACGTTATAGATGCTTCCTTTAGGTAATATTTTCAGGAAACACTATCAACTTTCACTCAGGCCCTAGAAAAAAGTTTTAGCTAAGCACCTCTGTGACATTATCTAGAGATATAGTTTCCCTGGATGGCATCGCCCTGGCCTCCAGCACTACTGTGAGAAATCTTGGAGTTATCTTTGATCAGGACATGTCGTTTAATTCTCACATTAAGCAAATTTCAAGAACCAGGTTTGAGTTTGGGTCCGGGTGGTAGACACCGTCTCTATTTTTAAGAGTAGGCTTAAGACTTTCCTTTATGATAGAGCTTATAGTTAGGGTAAGTCCACCCCTAGTTATGCTGCTATAGGCCTAGACTGCCGGGGGATTTCCCCATGATGCACCGAGCTCCCCTCTCCTTTCTCTCTCTCCCTCCCACTGCAACCTCATTCCATTAACGATGTTAGTAACTGGACTCTCTCCCTTTCCCGTAGTCGTTTGCTTTCTCGTCCTCCTCCTCTCTCATCCTATCACTTTCTGCGGATGTTCCTAGAGCTGTGGAAGCTGGATCTGTGATTGGGTGTTTCCTGATGTCCCCGTGTTCCTACTCTGCTACAATTACAGCCACTGTTCAGAGTCTTATTGCTATCATTACTGCTATCATTATCATTGCCATTTTTCATCCAGTATATGTGTTACTGTGTTGGCTGCCTCTCTCTGCTCCCCCTGTACTTCTCTCGCCCTCTCTCTCTTCCCCTCTCTTTCTCTTACCCCCAAGCGACCGAGGCAGAAGGCTGCCCACCCTGAGCCATGGTTCTGCTCAAGGTTTCTGTTTGTTAAAAGGAAGTTTTTCCTTGCCTGTGTCCCCTAGTGCTAGCTCGTGGTGGCAATTGTTGGACTTCTGTAATTAACTTCAGAGTAGGGTCTTCCCTGCTTTGTTTGGAAAGCGCTGTGAGACAACTGTTGTTGTGATGTGGCGCTTTATAAATAAAATTTAATTGAAATTTAAATTGTGCAGAGAGCAAAAAATTAACAGTGCATTATCTTCACCACTTCTTCAGCCCTTCCAGGTTTCAACATGGGATTTCAATCAACATTGACCTAGGGAGGCAATTGCACAATGACATCAAACAGTGATGTCCCTGTGGTTACAGTAACATCAAAGGCTGACATCACAAAAGACAATATGCCATCAAACAATGACATCACTATGGGAAATGTAAAATCAAAGGCACATCTCATCACATCTCGGTGGGCCCTGCATGCATTGGGAGCTTCCTGATCAGGTCAGAGGGTTTTGGCCAATAAGACTCGGTTACGTCCAGCCTTCCTTCTGATCGGGGCAGGCTCAGCCCAGAAGATAAAAGTCCACCACACCTGGAACTCTGGG